GAAAACAAGCTTGTTCGTCTAATCGTCTTTTGCTTCTGATATCCTCTCCGGGATTATTTTCTCAGTTGAAACAGTCCAAGGATCGCACTGGCTTGAGAGAATTTAATCACTACGTTAGGTTCAGCACAAGACTTGCTGTAGCGAAGGGGGTAGTGCAATTTTTCGATAAGTGCATTTTACGTTGTGAATATCCCTAGCACCTTTGGAAGATTCTCAGACGTAAAGGGGTTAATGCAACCAGCATTGCATTGAAGCGTCACACTTTGAACAAGCGAGACACGGTTATTTCTTGGATTGATGAGCTTGACCGCAACCGGTGCAACTTCTCCGATGCACTGAGTGAATTGTACGAGGAGGAATACAAACAGTTCAAATCATTCGTTCGGCAAATTATGGCTCGGCACGTAGAAGTACGAATAACATCATTATGGCGACGGATCGATTTTAAAAAGCCGAGTAACTCATTTTCACTTGACCCTGAGTACAACGTGCAGAATTTCTCCCCTTTGCAATTTGACAGAGCACAAATGGAAATTCTCTCAGTAAGCCCGAAATTCTCTTACCCCCGAGCTAATGTGCAACAGTTAGACTTGGAAGTCCAGTTCGAAAATCTCTATTCTCAAGTTGCTACCTTAACACCATCCTCATCATTAGTAGCTGAACAGTAAAAATCCACATTGGTAAACACATGCTACCACTAACTGAGGTACAAACCGATCATCAAGTATCTTCTAAAGAACAGGCATTTGCAAGCTCTGAAGGAACTCAAGAAAAACAAGAATGTTTTGGTATTTAGACCGGATAAAGGAGGCGGAATTGTATTGATGAACAAATCAGATTATATTGATAAGTTGGACATCATCCTAGGAGAGGCATCAAATTCCGAAAAGTACAAACCGAGAAAGACAAGGCACTGGCAATTGAGAAGACTATGACAACACTTTTGCGGCGCTCGAAACAAAATAACGTCATAGACGCTGACACTTGACTACGCCAGACATAGTGCAACAATGATTCCGAGACTTTCTGGCTTAGCTAAGTTCCACAAGCAAGGTGGACGGTTATGACCGATACTGGACATGAACAACTCTATCATTTGACTACTAAGTGGCTTGTCAAACTCCTCGAGCCCGTCAGGAAGGCCATGTCTAGGTACAGCTTCTGGGACACTTTCGAATTTCTTGACTCGGTGCAACAACTCAATGTAGCTGGACGTAAGATGTTCTCGCTAGATGCGGCGTCACTTTTCACCAACGTCCCGTTAGAAGAGACCATTGACTATCTCTGCGAGTTTGTCCAATTGCAAAGCATCAACATCGGTATCCCAAATGACTGTTTAAGGCAACTTATGCTGACGTGCACTAAGAACATTCAATTTCAGTTCAATGGGAGGTTTTTACAGACAAAGAGACGGGGTAGCTATGGATTCACCATTAGGACCGCTACTCGCCGATGTCTACATGAGTAAGTTGAAGAGCACTAAGCTAAACGAGTTGCATCAACAACCTGGTTTACTACGGTCGCTACGTTGATGACAGATTTTGTGTTGCGGATGGTCGGGTATGCATCGATGATCTGCTAGCACAATTCAAGGCTGCACAACAACATAGTGTTCATTAGAGAAGTTGAAATTAACAACTGCTTGTCATTCTTAGATGTCCACATCACCAGGACACCAGACCGAACAGTACAAAGGAGAGTACACAGGAAGACAACCTGGAGCGGCCAGCATACCCATTTCGCCAGTTTCGTTCCAATGAGTCAAAAACACAACCACGTCCGTTATCTCACGGAAAGAGAGAGGAAAATATGCGTGAAAGACTTGCTGTCAGATGAGTTGAGTTTCATTCGAGGCGTTCTCGAACAAAATGGTTACCCGGACAAATTCATTCGTAGGCACGTGGAGACACGAGCACCAAAATTCTAACCAACCACCGCAGAAAAGCGCTTAATCTACTTATCACTGCCTTTCAAGGATGAAGCGATAGCAGAACGAACTACTCAAACAATCTGCAATGCAACCGCGAGAACCTACTTTGCAGTTGACTTCTGTGTCAGATTCACTTCTACGCCAGTCAACATCTCAAGGACAGGAAAACAAGGTCGAATGTTTCCTTCTGTGTGTACCATTTTCCTTGCTCGTATCGTGCAAGTTATATTGGAAAGAGGAGCTGGTGACTGTATGAGAGAGTCCGGGAACAATGCCAGGCGTGGCTCTCCACTGGTGTCAGAGAGACAGTAGCCAGCGCGGCGCTATGGCATTTGATCGACTCAAATCACCAAGTGAATGTGCGAGAGGCCTTCCGGCCTATCTACAGGATATCTGGACGTCCCGCGCGAGCCTTCCGATGTCGTCTATTAGCGACAGCGGATGCAATCAATATTCGGCTCCATAATCTTAACTTATGTGTTCAAAAGAATTTTGTACATGCTCTACAGCTACCATGGTCTCAAGCTTCCCCATGTTATGCCGCCACACTTAACCCTTCCACTAATGTTGCCTGGTCAATTCAGTTTGATTCATCATATTTAAATACCCTGTGTTAGTTTTATTCCTATTTTCTGTGGTGTAATGACCTGATGCGAACCACCGAAAATAAGCTTGTTCACCTAGCCCTCTTTTGCTTCGGATGTCCTCTCCGGCATTATTTTCTCGGTTAGCTGGATATCTCTACATTCTTGCAGCGGTCGCTTCAGTTGCTGAGCTTCGAGTGTGACTGGAGCAAGTTCTGAGCTGGTGCTTCCTGTTGCATTCGCCTACTCCTCGATCAGATTTTCTTTAGTTTTTAGTGATGAAGCATGACAATCAGAGTTTCGGCTGTGAGCTCGACAATTCGCAACTTTAGCTACTGCCGAATGTTGTGCAGGCTCGTGTTTGCTAGAAGTGACACATGAGATGAATGTGTACTCAGCCGGTGTCTCATGACTCGTTACGTTATCAACTTAGTAGGCCTTGGTGTTTGTGCGCATATCATTCCGACTGCTTGGGAAGCTCCTGAAATGTCGATGGAAAGTGGTACGGAACCCATCACCTATTCTGGATGACGCTATTGACTTGTCAAGGTCGACCCTACTACTTCCAATAGTAGTAGCATGGTGATTTCGAGGGGATGAGTGGCTATGCTTCTGGGCTAGTTGCTTCTGAAGAATTGTTTGTGACAACTAGTCTTTTATTGCGTGCGAATTTGGATGTACCCGAATTGTCTGGAAACTTCAGCAGCACTGGGCAAGCGGTCATGTCTTTATTTTTTCGCAAGATAAGATATAAACAGGCGAGTCCATCCATATTGCATGCTGTTAGGAGAGCACTTTTAATGCTTTCCATATTTAGCTTATCAGTTACGTTGAAGATAATGACATTTTACTTGGATCCTCGCAACTAGATTACAAGCCGTATAGCTAAACTACCAATACAGAAAATTATCAGACCATCATTGCGCCCTATTGGGACTCATCAGTGGTGCGCATTCCTTCGGTCCCTTGCTGGGGATCGAACCCAAGACCGCTAGTGGCTTGCACCACTAGCCAGCAGCTTATGCCACTGAGCCATGAGGACAATATCCGACCACCACGTATTGAAAACTGACTGCGATATAACCGACCCATCTTCCACTGTCATGTAGGTCACTGCCCGTGCAGAGGACGATGGTTAGCTGTCTGGGTCAAGACTTCCCTTACCAGTGCAGTGAATCCACACAGCATTTTGTAGACCGATAGGGTTGGGTTTCTGATACTAATGACTAGATGGATTTGGATATGATTCGATTTAGTTTATCGCAATTAGATTCCAGGCCTCATTTTGCGATCTACGGAGACGTTCTTGCTTCTCAGATGTGAATGAGGATAGTAAAGAACCAGCCGTGCATAGTCGGTCTGCATTTGCTGATCCTTTAAGCAGTTCACAGAATGATGCAACTTGTTCATAACTGGTGCTAAATTTATGCTTTTTTTACTTAGTAACTTCCTTTCCAAGAGCAATAAGCCTACTGGTCATTTCAGGTAGCGAACTAGTGGTAGTTCACAGCTACATCCGACTTTTTAGCAGTTTAGGTGTCGAGCGTCTCGTTTTGACTGTAGTAACAGATGGATTAGTATCAGTGGAATCTGTGTGTTTTATTGCCTTTTCTGGTTTCATCTCCAACTTAAGCAAAGAGCTTCTCGTCCTCTGGTTTCGCTCTTAATATAAAAGAAAGGCATTGTCAATACGCCGTTGCGTTGCACCGACACTCTGTTGGCGCGCGACCACCACTAGTCGCGCATGCGTTAAGGCTACTAGAAGGCCGCTCATACCTATGCAGATCGCAACGCATTACAAGAGCAGACACCAATCACTTCGGTCACTGGTTTAGATCCGCGTGTAAAAGGTACCCTCTTAACTGCCCACTACCATCCGGAATACTGTTTACTCGCATGGATAAGTGAGTGCTCAAATTGAGTTGCGAAGCATAAGGGGCTCAACAGGGACGGCGTTGTTGAAAGCATACACAGTGAGAACATGTAATTCCTTCTCCAACACAATAAAAGCCAGTACACTGTTGTGCCAACGCCAATTGCTGCAGTAAGTTTAACTAAGCTATTATGATGAAGATCACAACGGCTTAAATCAGTGTTGAGACGGATACATCATGAATACTCTCTCAACTGCAACAAGCATTTAGGATACTTTTACTGAGTCCCGCGTTCAACTGAGAGTGTAACTTACTCGAGAAAATGGAAATTTTATGTAAATTGGGATGTGAGATGGAGAAACTTTAAAAATTATGGCTCTTTCTACCTTGAAACCGGTATAACTTGACCAATTGATTCCCTCATATTGTACAATCAAGCCTCCAAACTTGACTACCACCCTAAGTTGACCGATTTCCCCCGGTTGATTTAATATTCACAACGTAAAACTTATGGACCCAGACATCGGTATGCTGACCAGTTTGGTCCATTCTCTCGGTGGTCAAATTACGGAGGTTTTACAGCGTACGCACTAAACAGTAAATGTGACTTACTTGTATCTGCTGGTTTGTGTAATCATCCTCCAGTTGACGGTGTTTGACAGCCTCACGTCTAAGAACTTCGAGTGTGCCTTCTGTTTCTCTTTTCACCTGTTCCAAACATCGAATCTGCTCCTCAATGGAGTTGAGCTGAAGCTCCCCTCTCCTTTGTGCGTCTTGTTGCAACACCATCTTTTCCTATGGACAGAAAACCGCAAGTTCAAAGTATTTCATCTGCGAAGCTGATTTGCACCATGGCTGAGGAAAGTATAATTCATTTCCGTTTCGGTCTACTCATGAGTAGTCATGGGCAGCTAGTTTCATGGCCTCACGGATAAATTTCGCGATGTACACTGCACCCCTGGCTTGTCTGGTCACACTTACCGGTAGTTATATATAGTAATAGGGTTAATATTAATCGTACTAAGGAGTCACTACAAAGTGCCTGCACCTATCGGCTCTCGCCTACTTTCCTTGCTCATACATCGTTCATTAGATTGCCGAAGGAACCCACTAGTCCCACAATCGGAAATCCGCTTGCTACCGTTGGTGTGACGAGGGTGATGTATTTAGAAGCTTTTTCCTACTCATTGTTCAAGACTACATAGTTGTGCCAATGACCTCAGCCCAGGCTATAACGAGGATAAACGGCTTGCCAGGGAATTAGTTTCACTGTTAACTTTGTTATTTTGTTACATCAGCTAGACTTGGCCTCTGTCATTCCGTACAGCGGCATCCGAAGGCATCTAACCACTCGTCATCACTCTCATCATAATTCACAGTAGGTTGAACTGCTGTTTCGCTACCATATAACTGTGATGAACTAGGGAAAGAGGAATACAAATGGAGAGAGGGTGGACTTGCAATACAATACAAATGCTCGAAGAAAACCTTCAGGATCAAGGCTCCTACATCTTGTTAACGTCAATATGTTTACATCGGCATCGGCAAAACGGACATTTTGCGATTTGTACTGCCCCGAAAAATAATTAGCCTTGGCGACCACATGGGTGGATCCATGTTCTGCATGAACATCATTCAGATCACTTCAATTCTCTGACACTCCAGTTTAAGTAATGACCCTCCGGAAACGACCGATACACCGACGGGTTGCTGGGCGGTGTAGTCTAGATATATGCAGCTTAGGGCGCAACCCCGACCTATCCGAATGAACGATAGATTGTATGGCTTTTCACAAAGGTCCAAAATTCCTTTGCTGTTTTATGTTCTATGTCACATCGCTCAGGTGCGGAACTGCAGTGGCACTGGTATGGTAAAATGTATTAAAGACATAGTTCGTGTTTTAAATAACCTGAACAAAGAACAATGATTTATCACGTGATAAAAGCAGTGCCTGACACGTCCCATAGGATGGTTGGGGTGAATACGATGAAATCGAAATATATCTGGGTCATCTACCAAACGTCTGTCTAGATGAATAGTTTGATAAATAACATCAGTGTGAAATTGAAAATGTCGAGCGTAAACCTTCAGAAATACAGATGGGTGCAGTAGTCGTTGTTATAAGGCGTGAGAAAACTAGAAGATTGTCGCTTACTTGGGTCCATTTGATATACAAATCCTGTAGAAAAATATGCTTGGCGCAATCCACAATAGAGGAATTAAGGTAACAAAGTGCTGGAAGCTAAGAGCAACATCTAATCGTTTTTTGAAAACGTCCAAGGTAGGGGAGGATACAACTGAGTCTGGGAGTGCGTTCCAGGGTTGGCAAATCCGAAGGGAAAAATAATTACGTCGACACTCTAGACGGCTAGATTGTTCCTTCAAGTTTAAGCAATTGCCACTCAGCTGCTTGTTGCGGCTAAGTTTCAGCAAGTGGTGGCATACGCTGTTGGGGTCACTCAATATCTGATACGCTAATATGAGGTCGCCACGCAGCCTCCGATAGCGTCCGCTGAAAATTCCCAGCAACTTCAGCCTTCGGTGGTAAGAGTGATAGCGCAGGTCCTTTACATTCTTTGTTGCTCTTCCTTATGGTGACTCTAACGCCTCTAGGTCGCGCTTCAACCAAGGTTGCCAAGCTTCGATAGCATATTCAACATGCGAGCGCCCGTAGGAATTGAGCATCATTGGGAAGATTGATGGGTCAAATCTCCCGAACGCCCTTCGCAGCATGCCGACGTGCTGGTTGCCTCCGTCCGAACCTATCTCAGCCTGTTTTGAACAATTGAGGTCGCTCTGTACGAGCACACCAAAATCACATTCCTGAGCGCTGGTCTGCAATCCGTTTGTCCCAAGCAAATATGTGTAGTTATGTCTATGGCGTAATTGTACAACGCTACATTTGTGTACGTTGAATGGTAGGGCGTTTCGAACTAATCGGTTCGACGCTGGGTTAAGATCGCACTGGAGCCTTTCGTGATCGTCCAACCCTCTTAGCCTACGTCATATCTTGATATCATCAGAGAAAAATAGCAAATCGGAAGTAATTGATCTCGCCAAATCGTTAATGAACACCAAGAATAGACGAGGTCCAAGCACCGATCCTTGTGGTACACCACACACCACATCGATTGCATTGGACAATGGTTCTCCGACTCTCATTGCTAGCCGTCTTTCGTGTAGAAAATTGTTAATCCAACTCAGGATCTGGTCGCCAATGCTGCAGTTCCGAAGCTCATGAAGAAGAATTCGATGGTCTAAGCGGTCAAAAGCTTTTGAGCACGTAAATGACATCGACTCCTGCTCCGTCGTCAACAGCTTCAGTCAAGCTATTACGTGCAATTAATAGTTAGTATTACATGAACGCTTTTGACCGAAACCATGTTGCTCTGGGGCTATTAAGTTGTGGCTTTCCAGATACTGCATCAGCGCATCTGCGATGATTGATTCCATACTTTGGATAGCACAGGAAGTAGTGTTATTTGGACGGTAGCTTGGCAGGATCAGTGCGGCTACCTCATTTATATATAGGAGTGATGACCCCTCACTTTCATACTGATGGAATATGGTTCTCTTCTAGACATCGCTGATAGAAAACAGCCAGTGGTTCCGCTAGATCACTAGCTACCGCCTGCAAAGCCTTTACTCGGAAGTCGTCGAGTCTAGGAGAACTGTGGATACGCAAGGATAATACCTTCTTCAACACAGCTTTCGAAATGAAGGTGATGTCTAATGCCGACGGTGGAATAATAGAAAAGAAGAGAAGATTTGGGCTCGTTGCCTTCTGGAAACCTTGGGTGTAATGAAGCCGTGAGAGCTCGGCTGCTTCCATTGCTGATCGCGTGCATCCATCAGCCGTGACTAGTGGTGGAATCCCGCGCTTCACCTTTCGAAGGCCGTTAACGTGCCTGAACAGAGGTTTGTGATTCGTGCACAATCGCTTCATTAACTCCTGTGGTTGCGTGACCTTGTCTTCGTGGATCAGTTTTACCCAGAATTTACGATGTGTCACGTATGCAGTCCAGTTTTCGGCGTTCGAGCAGTTCATGGGAGCTCGCCATGCCAAATCCCTCCGGGACATACATTTACGTCTTCTGCTCCTCAAAAATACTTGTTTTGGGTTGGAAGGACTTCTGTTCCGATGCGTGCGCAACCAGTGTGCTAAACGTTCTTGTAAAGGTTTCCAAGGCAACATCGGTACAACTTAGCTGAGGGTGAGAATCATACCTCAGCTAATGTACCGCTAGAAAAAAGAGACTAAAAAATTACACTACAAAGTACACAAATTACACTACAAAAATATGATGTTAAATATTATATTATGCGTTTTGCATGAGATCGGGATTGGAGGGGGAACCTAAAGGGAAGGGGATGGACAAAGAAACTCACAACACAAACGCCATTGGGGCCGGCTCTTCGCCATATCAGCAAGTGTGTCCAACCAAACGTGTTCATCGTCCTTAGGACCCCAGCCAGGCAGTCGGGATGCACCAACCGACGCCAACTTCGAAGTGAGGGTTTTCATTTCTCTCGACCAAGTCATCGCTTGGCCTCCCCTCCTCCTCTTCCAACCGCACCCCGACGCGCAAACAATGCACGTCGCGAGAGTCGGTGTGCTGGCATGCGCAACACGTGGCCCAGCCATCGGAGCCTGGTGCGTGATATAATGGTGCTGAGCGGTTCACTCGCTCTTCCTGCACCAAATACGCGACGCTGAACACGCTCATTGCTCACGCGGTGCGCTCACCAGACATAAGCTAAGCTGCGAAGGCAGCGATGATCGAATGTGGCGAGCCACTTTATGTCTGTCGACCTGATGGACCAGGTTTCACAACCATATAGGAGAGTTGAACGGACGGTTGCTTTATAAACTCTGCCCTTCAGGACCAATGTCGCGTCTGCGCCACAGGTGGCGGAGATTGGCAAAAGCACCTCGAGCTTTTGCTATACGGTTCGTAACCTCAACTTCGATCCCACGGGTGCTAATATAGCTGCCAGGTACTTGAATTCCTGAAAGACTTCTAGCTGATCAGCACCAAGCGTTAGCGCAGGGGTGGGTCCCTGTCAATCTTGGAGAAGCACTTTGCATTTCGATGGAGTAAAGCATAGCCCAAAACGATTGACAGCCAGTACTGATCGGTCCAGTGCTGCTTGGCATGTTTCGGAGCTGTCACAGCTTCGAGCAATATCGTCCGCATCATTCAGGTCAAGAAGTTGCTCACTAGGAGGTAGCACCAGACCTAGGTCGTGTCCAGCGTATGCAGTTTCCATGACTTCGTCAACTTCGAAGTTAAAGAGGAAAGGTGACAGCGGGTAACTTTGTCCCATACCGCTGGTGATACTGAAGCGCGGCGATAGCTTGCCATAAACCCTCACTATGCCTGAACTATGCGCGTACAGCGCTTTGATAATTTTTACGTGCTTATCGGGCACACTCCTTCAGCAGACAGTCCCAAAGGGCACTTCGATCGACTGAATCGAAGGTATCTTTTATGTGAAGAAACATGACAACAGTGGGTCACCAATAAACTGGGCGTGCTCCAACGGTTGACGCAAACTGAAACTGTGGTCGATGCAGCCCTGAACTCTACGAAGCTCGGCTTTCTCTTCAAGGATCTGCCTTTCACGAGTCCTAATCAGTTTGTGGAGAATGACAGACGCAAGCAATTTAGAGGCAATTGGGATGAGATTGATCCCTCAATGAATGCCGCATTCCGAACGGTAGCCTCCCTTGAAAATTGGGACAATGACGGAGCGGTTCCAGTCTGTCGCGACTGTCTCCTGCTCCCAAATTC